GAGGCCCGCGTACCGCAAAAAAAAAAAAAAAGAAAAAAGCAACTCTAGCTTGACCAGCTGTAGTTTAGTAAGATTATACTTTCACTTATTTGGGAATGTACATTTCCATTGAGCCTTCCACTTGACAATATTTATAGTATGTTAGTTGCCCTATGTTATAAACTGTTCATCTTAAACCTGTATAATATTAACATAATTTAAATGTCTTTTTCACAGAGAGACCTCTCTCCCCCAAGGCTGTCAAAGGATTTGAAACTACTCCACTTACCAAGAATTATTATACTGTGGTGAGTGTTCAGATGATGAACAAAAATTTTCTTGACTCTCTACATGGAGAACCACTGATGTGTTGAGGTGACACCAGTGGAAGACTGGAGAAAGTTGCATTGCAAGGGTCTCCACTAATGACAGTGGAGCTCTTTTATTTGTAGGCTTGTTACAGACATCTAGAAGTTTTACAACCACTGTACTGAGAAATTCAAGGGTAGCACAAAGGTTCAGAGCAAGGTCTACTAAACTGCAGCAAAAGAGAAATCAGCTAATATGTAGACATTATGGGGAAATTTAGCAGTTAGATCTAGCCTTACCAGATAGTTAGGAGGTGAATTCCCAAGTTCCTCTAATGCAATATGTTTTAAGTGATTGCATACTGTGATTTTATTTTAGAATCAATCAACCAGTTACGACAGCCTCTGAAATATTATCAACCTTGTTCTTGAGGACAGCCCAAAGGAAAGACTGCCCTTTGGCACAGAGGGAGGAATGAGATGGCTCTGGCTTGAACACAGATATGTCAAAATATATTAGCTATAAATAGGGCATGTGCAATACTCAAAACAAGTTCCCGTTTGAAAAAGAAATCGTATCCTTTTCCTTAATCTACTCTCTGCTTTCCTCCATGTCTCCTTTCCAGACTTGGCCCAGTCAGCAATGAAAAGGTCAAGTCATCATGACCTCTAAATCTCCCTGTCTAGTATCCCTGTCATCTTCCCCATCACAGCTGAAATACAGTTTCACTTTTCACCCAATGCTCTATGTGCATTTATACTATGTGCTCCTTTCATTGTGTCCATGGATAAACAGTTTTTATTTTTATTTTTAAATTTTATTTTATTTTTGGCCACACCATGCAGCTTGTGGGATCTTAGTTCCCCGACCAGGGATCGAACCTGTGCCCCCTGCAGTGGAAGTGTGGAGTCCTAATCACTGGACTGACAGGGAAGTCCCTAAACAGTTTTTAAATCTCTCTATACATTTGGTTTCAAAAAATGGAACTTCATTCTTCAGTGAATTTGCTCCGTAATGGTGACATGAACAGTAGTTGGTATGAAAAATCAAGTAGGAGCTTCATAGGTAACCTGGACAATAATCATAGGGGATAATTTTGTCACTGTTCTTCCTCTTACATTTCCGAGGTTAAAACGTTACCAAACAGAGCTAGGCTCCCTTCTCCCTTCATCCCTGATCACTTTCCTTTTAAACTGGCAATATTTTGATGCCTTTTTTTCCTACACCTATATAGCTATATATCATTACATAGTTGCAATCATACTATATACACAATTTGTGTCCTGAGTTGTCGCTTAACATTATATCATTTTCAATTATTTATTTACCTTCTATTTCCTTTTTTCTTCCAGTTTTATTGACATATAATTGACATGCAGCACTGTGTAAGTTTAAGGTGTACAGCATAATGATGTGACTTACATACATCATGAAATGATGACCCCAATCAGTCATTGAATATCCATCATCTCATAGAGTTACAAAATTTAAAAAATAAAAAAAAATATGTTTTCCTTGTGATGAGAACTCCTCAGGATTTACTCTCAACAACTGTCATAAAGAGCATACAACAGTGTCAATTATATTTATCATGTTGTACATTACATCCCTAGTACTTATTTATCTTATAACTGCAAGTTTGTACCTTTTGACCCCCTTCACATAATTCCCCCCTGCCTCTGGTTCTGACCACTTTTAGCTTCCAGGCGACCCCCAAGGATTTAATTTTTAACGGAAGGGCACAGTCAAATGGTAGGTGAAAGTGTTACCGTAGCTGCTTCTCTCCGCGGACCTGGAGCACACCATCGCTCTGCTTTCAGTCTCTCTCTGCTTCTGCTGAGTCTACCAATTTAAAATGCTGGGATTATCCAAGGCAGACTAACCTCTGTGATTCTTATGGGCGTTATGTAAACCCCATATATACTATATACCAACTCTGGACATACTGTAGTTTCTTTTTTATTTTTTAATTAATTTTATTTTTGGCTGTGTTGAGTCTTTTTGCTGCCCACGGGCTTTCTGTAGTTGTGGCGAGCAGGGGCTACTTTTTGTTGTGGTGCGTGAGCTTCTTATTGTGGTGGCTTCTCTTTTTGTGGAGCACGGGCTCTAGGGTGTGCGGGCTTCAGTAGTTGCAGCATGCGGGCTCAGTAGTTGTGCCTTGTGGGCTCTAGAGTGCAGGCTCAGTAGTTGTGGCGCATGGGCTTAGTTGCTCCGTGGCATGTGGGATCTTCCTGGACCAGGGCTCGAACCCATGTGCCCTGCATTGGCCGGCGGATTCTCAGCCACTGTGCCACCAGGAAGCCCCTGTACTGTAGTTTCTATCACCCATCTCCTGTTGGAGTTCATGTACATTATTTCCAGTTCCTCACAATTATAAACAATTCTGCAGTGAACATCCTATATGTGTAACTTTGGCAAAGTGTATAAAGATCTGTGAGGTGGATTCCTAGAAGTTAAATTGTTGAGCCAAAAAAATATATATGTATTTAAATTTTGATAGATTTTGTCTCAAACCAAACTTAATAAAACAGAAGGTCTTGGAGAGCCCATGATGGCCTGGGAAGGAACTGTAGAGCTGTGGTGTAAATATTGCTGAATTATTGAGACCAGTTAGACATGTTGTTGTAAGTAGATATGCATGTGAAGGGATTTGGGTTGATTGTTGGTGTTTTTTTCTAATTCACATTTTTGAGTATTTAGGCAAATTTTTAGCAGCAACTAATTCAAAATATGTTCTGAGTGTTCTGATTGCCCTCCCAATCTGTGTTGAATACCTTAGACAAACCAAAATAATTCTAGCTCACCCACAGTATTTGGAGACCTGGAAAATCAAGTTCACCCACGTGTAAGACGTCCCCATCTGATCTTTTTTTCTTTGGTAAAAATGTAACAAATTTTATTTCCCATATGATCTTATATTAACTCTTATCCTCTCTAAGAGTCATTAATTGTAGACATTTTCTGTTGCTAGTACTATAAGGGCAGTAGTGACTGATTTTTACTTCATTTTTTTTAAAACAGGAAGTATTTCTTTTCTGACAACATAACATTATGTAAACAATGATTTTAAAAAAATCAGACAGTTCAGGAAAAGTATAAAGAAGAAAATAAATATCACCTGTAATCCCACCACTCAGAGATGATCACTATTAACGTCTTGGTGAATCTCATGACAATCTTTCTTTGAGGTAGATGTCTATGTGTGTGTGTGCGTGTGCGCGTGTGGGCACACGTGTGCGCATATATACATATATATTGCCTATGACGTGTGTGTGTGTGTGTGTGTGTGTGTGTGTGTGTATTTTAAACAGAAATTATGTATTCTTCATTATTTCTCCTTCATGGAGATTTTTCTATTCTCAGACCCTGACAATACTGTCGCTGACCAGACCTGTTCTTATGCTCTTGCATTCAGCAAGTCCTTGCTAGTCCAAATGCTTCCTTTATTTTGGTCATGTGTATTAGTCAGGGTTCTCCAGAGAGACAGAACCAACAGGATCCATATAAAGAGATTTACTGTAAGTAATTGGCTCCCGTGATTATGGAGGCTGAGAAGTCCCACGATCTGCCATGTGTAAGCTGAAGACCCAGGACAGATGGCGGTGTAGTTCAGTACGAGTCCAAAGGCCTGAGAACCAGGAGAGCTGATGGTGTAAATTCCAGTCCTTGGGTAGAAGACTGATGTCCCAGCTCAAGAAGTCAGGCAGAGTGAGCAAATTCTCCCTTCCTCCACCTTTTTGTTCTATATGGGCCCTCAACAGATTGGATGATGCCTACACATATTGGGGAGGGCAATCTGCTTTACTCAGGCTACTGATTCAAAGGCTCATCTCATCTGGAAACACCCTCACAGACATGCCCAGAAATATTATTTAATCTGGGCACCTTGTGACCCAGACAAGTTGACACATAAAATTAACTGTCGTATCCTGTAAACTTGGGCAGGATAGAGACCTCTTGGAATTTGCAAGTCTGCAGATGTTCTCTCCCCTTTTTCAGGTTTCCAAGGGATTGTCTGCTGATTTCAGCCCCGTTTAGGCCTCGATATGCTTCTGGTGGCACATCAGTTTTGAAATGTTTAGAAGTTCTCCGGTGTCATCACAAGTGGCATGGGGTACCCAACTCAGACCTGCATCTGCCATGAGGCATTTTTTTTTAAAGCTCAAAAAACCTTGGATTAAAAGGAAGTCATCAACGAAATACAAAATATTTAGCAATGAATGATAATGTAAACAGTACATGTCAAAAAGTAGTTTCCTTCCTTCCTGCCTTCTTCAGAGGGGCATGTTTAATGCATCTAACTGAGGCTTGGCCTCTCCTGGCCCATTGTTTTGAATGAGTTTAGCTCATCCTTTAGGGACATGGCAGCCTAGAGGCTTTTGCTGCTCCTGACCTTGGTTCCTTCATTGTCCTCAGAATTCACTGCCATTTGTTAAACTTCTCTCACTACTGAGGAAAAGCATATCATTTTCTCTGAATTATTTTTCTAATAATCTTCTGCTCATTGGCTCTCTTTGCCTATTGTAAGTTGATGTTACATGCCAGGAGGGATTAAAAAATAAATAATAATAATAAGCACAACAATAGAAAATGGTAACTATGAGAGGTGACGGATGTGTTAATTAGCTTGATTGTAGTGATCATTTCACAATGTATACATATATCAAAATATCAAGTTGTATACCTTGAATATATACAATTTTTATTTGTCAATTAGACCTCAATAAAACTAAAAAAAAAGAAAAGAAAAGAAAGAGGAATCCATGTAGCTTAGTTGTCAGGCTTAATTTGCATGCAGTGCTTAGGTCTTGGCACCCATGGTCTCACTGGGAAGACAGGACAGACATGATGGTATAAGCCACGTGGCAGACAGTGATGTCAAGTTATAAACTGTCCTAAAATGAATTGCTCCAAATGTGGTTGGGGGATCTTTTGCATTTGAAAGCCCCCAGGGAGACTGTTAAAACTGCAGACATCTGGTCTCCACATCTGGCTTGTT